TTATAAAATCAAATCGCAAGACAAAAATGTAGATAATATAAAAGTTGTATCAGAACATAATATTGTAAAAAAGAAACTAAGAAAAAATAAAGCTTTCAATTTAACTGGCAGTAATAATGATAGTATATATAGGCATAAGTTCATACAATTTATCACAAATTATCGATCCATTTCCTTTACAAGCATTATTAAAATCCACTGATTTCAAAAAAAACACAATCTGTTATTACTTTTTATCACAAATAATTTTCATTACATATTTTAAATATAACACTTCAGATTGTGAGCAATTTGCATTCTTCTACACCAGAAATTATCTTGCAATAATATGAAAGTTTGGACTATGATCATTTATTTACATTATCTAATAAATAATAAACATCAAAATCAAATAATATTGATGATATTTTAATATCTAATAAACAACAGTCTTTAGCATTAAATTTTACCAGCAATACCAATAACATCACCTCTTTAATCAGTCCATTCAAAAATGATCTTGAAATTTGTATATTTCTCATACATCAGCCAAATCTCATAAATTTAACTTTAAACATGATGAAAGCAAATGGTCACGAATTCACAATTATTCAAAAAAAACACATCAAATTTAATATATTTTCAGAAAGGGTAAGTTTCAATAATGTATAATTTTATATTACATATATTAATATATTCTATTTAAAAATAGGAACTCAGAATACTACAGTTACATTTAAAATGCCTTTTTTTTCGCACTTAAATTATAAATAAACAAATAGTTGATACAATAGTGAGATTTTTATTTTCAAACATCTAAATCATCGAAACTTTAGATTGGGCTGCATTACAAATATGGACTTTTAGATGTTTTCGTGATTATAATATGATAATGTGACGTGAGCTTGAAATATTAATTTCTGAATTTGTTAGAAAATACAAATGAGTTTATAATTACTATTTTATCTATTTGTAATTTTTAATAGAACTAATCAAAGTATTATAGATTAATAAAGGTAAACCACTTGAAATCTCAACAAATTACTGAATATATTATAGAAAACAATTGGATGGCTTTTCTAAAACAATATATAGATACAATAGATGAGAAGAAATCATTTAAAGATCAACCTGAAAATGTTATTAAGTTTAACAAGTTTATATGATCAGCATTTGACTTATTTGTTTAGGAGAAACTTTTGAATAAAGAAGTTATTAATGATATTAAAATTTTAAATTATATGACAGCTGATATGAAAATATTTGCAGCAGATGAAAGAGATGTATTACAACAGTTGGATATTAAATCATTGCTTAATTTGGAATAAATGAATTAACATATGAAAAAAGTTGAAAAAGTTATAATATTATTTTTAACTATATTAACTTTACAGTGATTATATTATAACAATGATAATTTTATAATATTATTATCAAAACTTAATATACATTCTAATTAGATTATTACAATGTTTACAATAATATTATAATGTAAAAAATAACATTGTTACTATATTGTAAAGATATTAAAACTATATAATTATTATATAGTTTTTATAAATTCTATAAATTACATTGTTACTGTATAATGATAATATTATTACATCATAATAATAGCATAGTCAAAAAAATTTAAGTTTTAGCAAAGCAATCATGTTAAATTTGAAGAATGTTAATCGAATTACGTACTCAAGAATGAAGATCAGGATCTCAGTTATTTGATCGATAGATTAAGGTTAAATTTAAAGGAGAAAAGTCATTCAAGAGGTTTTAGAATGAGATATACTATATCAAGAAATTTAGTACTAATTGCTTTATTAATAAATACATGAGAAGAGAAACCAATTCTGATAATTTTGAGTATTTTATTAGTTAGGTCTTATTTGATCGAAGCATCAATAAATGAAGGGAATTCTACTATATTGAACATGTCACATGCTTTATTAATTTTGTTTTTATTAGATTTTCCTGAAAGAAAAGTTTTATAGTGCAGTAATTATAAAAGATTAAAGTGTCGCAAATACATTTGAAGGATAAGATATTAGTAGAAGAGTTTTTAGTCCAAGTAAATTTTCAGAAGCATCATATACTTAGTCTTCATCTATAGCATTATTATTAGTAGGGGCTAATGTTTCACTATCCTTTAGTACTTCAATTGAAGAGGTATCAGAGATAAGAGTAGGAGTTAGTATTATTTTATTGTTATTATTATTTAAGAGCATAGTAAAATGTGTCATATTTAAATGTTTTAGCTTCAGAGAGAACAAACTTTATTTGTTAGTCAATATTCATATCACCAGCTGAGAGAATATTGGTAGAAGTTACAAATTTTGAAGGTTTAGATATAGTTTCATTTGTTAGAATAGACTTGAAAATTATAGTTAATTCTATGGTGGTTCTTCTTTTTTATTTATTGGTGAGCCAGGGCGGCTTCTTAAGTTGCAGTTGTTATTTTGTAAAAAATTTTGATTTTTTTTTTTTTCATTTTTTGTGGTTTTGGAAAGGAGGAAAATTTTGGATCCTGGATGTGCAAAAATGATTTTTTTTATAAGTGCAGCAGTCTCACATAATCTTTATTAATATTTATGAATTTATAAAAAAAAATAAAATAAAACAGAAAATACAAAAATATCTATAAACTAATCTAGTAAACTAAACTACTTTATCAATACAAACTTTACATTTTACTAAAATAAACTATATATCAGAAAAGAAAAGAAAACTAATCTAAACTAAAATACAGATATTAAACGTTTAAAAAGAAAGATGTAATTACTACTGTATCAGAAATTTGACCAATGAGTATCATAGGCAATAACTGCTATAAAGAATGAAGAATTAATTAAAGGTGTTTGTATTGTATGAAGAAAACTAAAAGATACCTAAGCTACAATGAAATCATCTTTGATGTTGTTTAATGTTTTCCATAATTATAGTGATTCACATCTTTCTAGTCATATATTGTGAATAGAAAAAAATATATCATCAAATAGGAATAATAATAAACTAAAAGTGATTTATTTATTCTTTGTAATGGTATTAATTAACAAAGAGAAAAATAAAGGAATTATCCTTTTTAATAGGTTGAGAAAACATAAATTATTGTTAGTTAAGCTATAATCCCATATTGAAGATTGATCCATATAAATAACTGATATATCATTATTATATCGATTTAGGTTTTTTAATTGAGACATGAATGACTGTTTGTTTTTCTGAATAATATTACTGAGAGGAATGGTATTATTGACAAATTCAGATATAATCAAAGTTCTCAGTTGTGAAATGACAATAGAAGCAGTTGTTTGAGATATAGATCTGTAGATAATGAGCATTTATGACTGCTAAAGTGGGAAGTAATTGTAAGATTAATTTAAATTTGAATTGTTTTCTTTTGCATGTGTCAAATGAAGTAACCTTAGCATTTTCTAAGTCATTAAAAACATAAAATAAAGTTTGCCAATCAATGTAAAAATTGCTATATTTAGCAAGATGTGAAAAAGTCAGAAAAGTTTCAGTCTAAGAGGCTTGTTGTAAGTGTTTGATAAATAAATGAGACAGAATAATAATTAGTTTGTTGTTAAATATATAACATATTTAGATCTAAGGTGATCATTATTGATATATAAAGGAGCACTAGTAACTTGTTTTGCTAAGAGGTCAACTTGATTGTTGAATTGATCATTCTCATAAACTTTAACTTTAGTAAGTATTAATTTAATATTGTGAGTGGCTATGATATGCAATATAGTCATTCAAATATGAAATTATGAAATTTTAAATATAGGATTAAAGAAGAAGATACCTAACAAAGTGTGGTAATCTTATTATATAATATGATTGCAACTTGTGAATCAATACAGATTTCAATTTTAGCATTAGATGGTGATGTATAGGAGGTATAAAAAGTATTGGCCAGTTTTGAAAATTTTATTATAAGACAATTAACATATTAAACTTTATTTTTTTTTTATTTTATTGAACTACAGGTCAATATTTTATTAGACCTCCATTTGCAGCAAGAATGGTCTGAACCCAACATGACATTAACTTGATCAAATTTACGAGTACTGCATCCCATTCCTCCTTAACTCACTGCTCCAATTACACAACACTTGATGACTGGAAATTACGCTTACGAATTCTAACCTCAATATATAACCAAATGTTTTCTATAGGGTTAATATCTGGGCTTTGCACTGGCCAGGGAAGTAACTCAACATTCGAGGATTTGATGAGGGAATGTGCGACTTTTGCGGTGTGAACAGGTGCATTATCTTCTTGAAAATAAAATTTTTTTTTGATCTTTTTCGTATGAGACTTAACCATGGGAATCGCATAATTAACCAAGATATTATAATGCGTATTTCCAGTTACGCGATCAATTAAAGGAATCAAAGAACCTATACTGATCCAGGAGAAACACCCCCAGAACATGCGACCAAAGCTCTTTTGAACCGTGGCTGCAATGCAGTCTTCATGAAATACTTCAAAAGGTTTACGCCATACCCGCCCAAAATCTGACGTTCTAAATTGTGTATAAGTAGATTCGTCTGACTATACTACTTTTTTAAAATCTTCTACAGTTCAATTTTCATAAGTACGAGCCCAAAGTAAACGCCTTTCTTTATTAGTTTTGGAAATTAATGGACTGAAGCGAGAAATGCGTGAGTAAAGATCTTGTTTGACCAATTCATTACGGATGGTTTGTTTGAAAATAGTTTTGTTTGTTTATTTATAACATTTAAATGTATTTAGGAGAGGTTTGACGTCGGGTTTTTTATTCCTAACCACTGAATGCTTGAGATATTTATGTTCTGCTTTGTTAAGGATTCGTAGTCAACCTGTTCGTTAACCTGTTTGTTTCTTCAGAAGTTATTTTAACTCATATAACTTCTATACACGTTGAACAGAGAAATGAGAGCAATCAACAATTGCAAAGATTCTGGAATTTGAATGGCCTAATTTTTTTGCAGCAATAATTTCCCCTTTTTGAACATTGCTAAGTTCTTTTCCGAGACACATCATTATGACAAATTTTTTCTCACTATATAATGTAAAAAAATTTTTCATGTGCCCAAATGACCTCATTTATATATCACAATAACGTTTTGTTTATATTTTTAGTTAGACATAATCATGCGCAATTAAAAATGGAAATTATGGCTTGATTCAGCAGAGGTATAATGACATGCGCCACTTTTGCATCATATTAACCAGGGTGGCCAATACTTTTTATACCCCCTGTATATATAACAGCGAAGATAGTAACTATTTCTACTAATATAAAGAAAGGAGAGTGTAATACAAGCATAGTATTAAAGAAAAGTAAAAACTAATTCTAATCAGTTTATAACCATATGATTTACATCTGACAGTTAGAAAATCCTAAGGATATAAGAGAGACATCTGTATAAAATTGAAGCAAGTTGGCTTTAGTAAATTATAATTTAAGGTGTTCTAATTTATTTATTGAAGTTTAGTCAAAAGAAAGAATTATTAAATTAGGCAAGGGTTTAGTTGGATATTGATAAGGGAATGTTAATATTGATAAAACTAATTCTTGAAGCATAAACTGTGAAAGGTTATACCATTATCCCTTATGAGATTTGTAAATACTTTAAATATAAAACAATATATTTTAGGTAATTTGATAACACAAAAACTATATCTTTATTGTTATTTATACAGTGTTAGTGATAATCTGTTTACGTTACTAAATGACTGCGTTAATTAATATCACCAATGATCACTAGAAAAATCATGATCATCATTTTCATTAATTTTACTACTATCACAGTTATCATTATGATATTTATGATATTTATAATTATATTTATCATTATTATATTTACTTTCATAGTTATATTTATTTTCTTTATTATATTTATTATCTTTATCTTATAATTGTATTTTATATAAATATCCTGTATTGTCGCCTTGATAAACTAATAAGTTTCTATTATACAATTAATAAAGTATAATCTTAACAACATAAAATTATATTTTTACTAATATCTATTTTCTTAAAATATAAATCATTGATAAAAATGATTTGATCTTTCAACTTAAATAAATTTGTATTTATTTCTTTCATAGTTTACACCTTAAACTCTTTATTAGCAAATAAGCTTTGTTATCCTAATGACATAATGTTTAGGCTTAACAATGGTATAAGAGCAGAATGATCAAAAAATTACATCTAGTGCAAGGAATAATAGATGTCCTGTGATACTCTGACTGAGTTAATAAATAATGTTGTACATGGATAATTGTACCTTTAGAAAAAGGTCAAAAATGATATCATTTAATAGAAAGGGAGGGGGTG